GTGCACACGGCCACGCAAACCGAGGCAATGGCGGAATGCAATGAAATGACATGGAAATGACAAATGGGCTTATACCAACATGAGTGAGCCTCAGCCACTCTCACATAGGATGCCGGCAGATAAAAATGAAGTGCCTCGAAATGCGTGCACACGGGCACGCAAACCGAGGCGATGGCAAAATGCTATGAAAATGAGATGAAAATGAATGGCAATCATTCTAAAAGAATTTCAGCAACAAAATATGGGAGAAAACAGTCCCGAAATGAAGCGAAATGATACCAAATGCAAGGAATTGTCCCGAAATGCAACATTAGGCACCCGAAATGGCCTATAGCTATGCCAAACATGCACAATATGGACATGCAATGCAAAGACAGAAGCTAGACAGTCCCAAAAAAGGCACTTTCACAGTTATAAACATGGCCAAACAGCAAGCATAGGTATGGCAAAAATAGCATGCAAGAATAGGGGCCAAGAGAGGGGTAATGAAGCAAGTGATATAAGAAAAACCCAAACTGAAAAATTTCCTTCTACAACATTGAAGAGGGACCAAAAATATGAATATTTACAGTATATGGAAGCCCCAAAATCAGTATACAAACATGCTAAAAAATGAGCACAAGATTGGGGCTCAAAAGGTGCTATAACATGAAGTATACAAAATAATCACCAAACAGCCAAAGACCCTTAATAAAACATGTATAATGGACCAAAATAAGCACTTTTCCAGAACTGTAAAATGGCCAAAAACAAAAGCATGGTAGGCTAACTAAACATGCAAGAATGGGGAATAAAAGAGGGATATAACATGAAGTGACCTATGGAGGTCTCAAACCATGAAAGGACCTAAATGAAAAATGAAGTATGGACCAAAATAAACACTTTTTCAGAACTGTAAAATGACCAAAAACAAAAGTATGATAGGCTGCCATTACATGCAAGAATGGGGAAGAAAAGAGGAGTATAAAGGTAGGTACAACATGGAAACCCCAAATGGTGTTGAGCCCTTCTTCAATGTTGAATGGTGTTGAGCCCTTCTTCAATGTTGAAGAGGGGCTCAAAATAAGTCTAATATCAGTTTACAACATGCTCGAAAACAGATTTCTCATGGGTCAAAAGTAGCATGCAAAACTATGACATACAAGAGGGTCAATGAAGCAAGTGTGTCATGGAGGGCTCAAACAGGGTTGAGCCCTTAATGAAAAGTGAAAATGAGCTCAAAAGAGGGCCCTTTTCAGTTAGGGCCGGAGCTTGAAACAAAAAGCAAGTGGGGCTTACAAATAGATCAAGAAAAAGGGTCAAAAAGGGAAAAGTATCACTTACCCTTGAAAACTCAAACTTTTGTTGCTTCTAGGATGAATTTGCAGCTTCTTTGACCTTTGA